TGTTAAACACATATTTATTATTTAAAATTTAAAAAAAAAAAAAAAAAATTAAAATTAAAAAAAAAAGGATTGTAACATCTTATTTCAAAAACTGTAAAATCATTGGATCTAAAGATATTGTCCACAGGTAAAAATGTACACACCCAATTTCAAACCCCCGACTTATATATACCTAAGAAGGTTTATTAGTTATTAAATTCATTCCTTTACTCTTGTGCTGCCTAGGGCAAAATAAAAATATCATATCCCAATGAGTTTAATGAAAATTAAATAAATCCTCACACACTTATGTAAGCGAAAACACATTTTTTAATTTGTTCTTTAATATGAATTGTGATAAGTTCATTAGTGAATGCTATTTGGCTATGGAGTTTCGCTGCACTGATTTACTTAAACGGCATTTTCTAATGTAAAGTATAATTAAAATATTAAGCTTTATTACTTCATAAATTATAAAAGTATTTTTTAATGAAGAAAGTAAAAACTTTATGTTAAAAATACAAAGCTTTTTTGCGGCTTTTATTCACAATTCTAAGGGCACTCAATTTCATTTATCAATTTCAGTTTTTTGTCACACGCAGTTTTTAAATCAAAGAAAGTTATAACTTTGGATTAACTATTCTGTTCGCTCTATGACATTATTTGCGTATTTATTTAGTTCAAATTAATTTTAATTTTTTTTCGCAATTGTAACAACGTACTAAAAACGCACACACACACACAAAAAATCTTTGAGATCTCCTGATAAATGTGATTACGATGTCATTCTTGAATCATAGTTATTAAATAAAATAAAAAAAATTAACGTACTTTTAGATTTGGATAAAATACTTTAAAAGTTCCCTGATTGCTATTATAAATGTATTTTCCGGCAACAAAAAATGAATATTTCTTGAGTTGTTTATTGTGCTATGTTCCTTGTAATATTTTCAGTGAGTCTTTGTAACGCTTTTTTTGGCCTCCTTGGGAGCGCTTGCCTATCGTGAGTTCTCCAAAGAATATTTGTTTCGGGAGCCGGTGGTCTGTCATACGGGCTACGTGTCCCATCCAACGGAGCTGAGACTGCATCAGAGTGGTGAAGATACTAGGTAGGTTCGCTCTAGCGAGGACCTCGGTGTCGGGGACTTTGTCTTGCCACCTGATGTCGAGGAGTTTCCTGAGGCAGGTAGTGTGAAAATGATTCAGTTTCTTGGCATGACGCTGGTAGACAGTCCACGTTTCACATCCATAAAGCAGTGTCGGGAGGGCTATAGACCTTGAGCTTTGTTTCTCGACTGATACCTCTCCTGTCCCAAACAGTGCTGCGGAGCCTGCCAAATAGGGCACTAGCTTTTGCGAGTCTGCCATTCATTTCATCATCCATGACGACAGATCTAGAGAGGGTGCTGCCCAAGTAAGTAAATTTATCCTTAGCTTTTGCGAGTCTGCCATTCATTTCATCATCCATGACGACAGATCTAGAGAGGGTGCTGCCCAAGTAAGTAAATTTATCCACCGGGTTGAGACGCTGTCCACTGATGATGATGTTGGGTTCAACGTAGGGCTTACTGGGAGCTGGCTGATACATCACCTCAGTCTTCTTCGTGTTGATTGTGAGGCCAAAGTTATTGTAGGCCTCTGAGAAGATATCAACGCTGTGTTGCATGACGGCTTCTGATGGAGCATTAAGGGCACAATCGTCTGCAAACAGAAGCTCGTTGATCGTGGTTTTTTTACCTTGGTTTTAGCTTGAAGACTCGTAAGGTTAAATAATGATCCTTCAGTACGACGCCGGATTGGCAAGCCCATGGTGGAGTCCTTGAACGCATAAGACAGCATTGCGGAATACATAATACTGAAGAGTGTGGGAGCAAGAACACAAGCCTGTTTTACACCGTTTGTGACGGGGAATGCTGGAGATGATTTACCGTTGTTCTGTACTCGGGCCATCATACCATCATGCAGCTGACGAATGATGTTTGTGAACTTATTGCAAAGATTCACTGAAAGTGGCACTAAAGGCCTTCAGCATAAGCCCTACTCAATGGGTGCAGACAGCCCAGGACAGAGCCAGATGGAGAGCTGCTGTCAAAAAAGGGGCTAAATAACATGAAGCTAAGAGAATAACCACAGCTGAGACTCGCAGGCTTGTCCGAAAGAGCAACATTAGGTCATCGTCTGAAGCAACTATTCCATGCCCACGGTGTCATAGATTATTCCGAACAAGGATCGGTCTAACAAGCCACCTAAGAGCTCAGCGTAATCCCAACCCCCCCGCCCGCCCCTAACTGGATGATTCGATGGTCTTTGTCGACTTCGACGGACGAACAACAATATTTTCATGTGTCTTGTGCGCTGAAGAAGGCTATATGCCGAGACGTTAATATCTTATTGTTCTGTCCCCTTAATTCAAGCTTCAAGATACCTTGTTTTGCTATTTTATTTGCTTAGCTTGAATGTAGTCCTTTCTTTACTAAAATAAAAGCAAATATATTTTATTTTTTGTGCATTTTAAGTTATTGGATGTCCGTAAAATAATAGAAATTCGCTTTCATTGTTTTTAAGAATCCGGACCTATTTAAATCACTTCGTTTCTTTAGCGCTTTGGTCTGCCTAGCTCATTCTTGTATCTATTGAATGTTATTATTTTTAAAGTATATGTAAAATGAAATGATAAATAACAGATACGTATAAAATATATCTAGTGTTTACATTTAAATCGGTTAATATCAACCATAAGTTTGCTCTGCATACTAAGATTAGATGATAATAATATTGGTGAAGAGGTTGTTAATATGTGTAAATGTTACTAAAAGGAATATTTAATTGATTTCTATAATAATAGAATGAGAGTTAGAAAATGTCAAATTTAACGAGGAATAAAATAGTGTTCTCGAGTATACGCAATTTAATAAGACGAGGTTAATCACATTTTCGTTTCAGATGCTTTGCTTTGAAATGCTTTAAATACGAAAATATTTATGAATTTTCATTAAAGTTTGCCAAGCTGCTGAACATCCATAATAAAAAGTAGGCCTATTGACATAATATACAGCAGCGGTGGGAATGGTACTTGGTGTTATTTGATTTCATTGAAACTTTTGCATTTGATTATGTCTGCACCCTGTCAAGGTTCAAAACAAGAACCGCCCCCCACACACAAACTAGTTATGTCAGGTTACGTCCCCTCCACTTTCCAAACCCATGGGTACCTGGTTAACCTCTGAAAAATCTGGTCAGCATATTTTTTCTTTAAAAGAACCCATTAACAAAGGTCTTTAACTTTTTTACTTTTAGAGAAGAGCATGTTTTTATTGTTTAAATGAAATGACACCGAGTTTCATATTTTGATAAACATTTTCATTATCCTTGTTGGCAACAGAATTTTCGGTTTCATCACCAGCAAACGCCTCTTTGTTATCGTCTGATGTGACGCTTTTTCTCGAGGAAGTGCAATCATCAGTGGACGATTTGGTCTTGTTAAATGCCACTATATTATTTTGAGATGTCCCATAGACTTCGTTTACGTGGGTATCTTTAAAAAAAAAAGTATTTCAAACATTCATCTGAGAGAAGAGCATAAGTAATGCCTCGCTTAAAGACATGCACAACACATTGTTAAACTCAACACATGAAATAATACACATGTTTAGTATATTTGCCTGCTTAAGAATTGCAGGCCAAATCAAATTTTAGTTACAGATGAATAGTTGTGTTAAAGTACTTAAGCAACAAACTAATGTTTTATTCTTACAAACAATATTATAAAAATACACAGTATATCTGAAATAAAGCGTTCAGTTTTCATAATTCCAAAAATAGGTTGTATGGGCTTAGCTGCTGAGTTGTGTGGATTTAGCTGTTGTGTTCTGGGGATTTAGCTCTTGAGTTGTGTGAGCTTAGCTGATGAGTAGTGTGGATTTAGCTCTTGGTTTGTGAGGATTTAGCTCTCGAGTTGTGTTGATTTAGCTCTTGAGTTGTGTTGATTTAGCTCTTAAGTCGTGTGTTTTTAGCTCTTGCCTTTTGTCAGCTTAGCTGTTGAGTTCTGTTTATTCGGCTGTTAGTTTTGTGGATTTAGCACTTGAGTTGTATGTATTTAGCTCTTGCATTGTAAGAGCTTAGTTGTTGAGTTCTTTTGATTTGTCTGTTGAAATTTTGGGATTAAGCTCTTGAGTTGTGTGTATTTAGCTCTTGGGTTTTGTGAGCTTATCTGATGGTTTGTGTGGATTTAGCTCTTGAGTTTTGTGTATTTAGCTCGTGTGGTTTGTGAGCTTAGCTGTTGAGTTGTGTGGATTTAGGTATTGTGTTCTGAGGATGTACCTCTTTGGTTGAATGAATTAAGCTCTTGAGTTGTGTGAGCTTGTGGATGCGTTGTGTGGATTTGGCTGTTGAAATGTGTAGATTATTATTTCAATTTTTGGGGTCAGCTGTTGAGTGGTGTGGATAAGCTGTCAATTTGTTTTTGACAAGCTCTTGAGCTGTATGGGCTTAGCTGTTCATTTGTTTAGACTTAGAGGTTTCCAGCATAGGTACGTATGTTCTAAAGAGCTTGTTTACATATTTTTTCTCGTGCGTGCACTCTGATTGACCCCGCATGAGACGCTGTGTTAACAGATGGGTGTGGCTTATTCTTTTGATCTGTCGTGTTGATGCCGACAGCCACTAAAAAATAATTAATTTGTTCCATATAGTATTTCGTAGAATGATTGTGATTGTTCTAGAAACGTCATAAGTCTTTCTGGAAGGCAGGGCTTACGCGACCTATACAAGGGATTGACAGGCATGGACGGAGATTCAGATAGAAGTTATTAACTTTACGAGACGTCTATTATTCTTTGTGTATTTGTGTGCTCATACTCATGTGTTTATTTCGCATTCATCATTATTCATTGGCACATTATTATAACTGTATTAATTCTGTGCCGGTACAAGATCTACCAAACTGTAAGTTGATGATTTGTAATGATATTTCTTTTATTTTTTAATTACATTAATACTTATTAAATCTTATTAATTGTAACTAGAAACTGTTTTGGGTGTCGTATATTTAATAGTGTTGACTCTATGGTACCGTCCTTTGTTAGGTACTGCTTACAACGAGCCAATTAAAATTAAAATAGGAGATAAATTTCTCATATTAGAAGCCAGTGCGTAACAACGTATCTCACCAAGAATGCCTTATTTGTCTAGCTGTTAAATAGAGTCATGTAAGTAATAAATGACTAAAAGATGCCGATATTTTAGGTTACACTGACTTTAATACTATCAGCTTGGTCCCTGTTTTAACGATACATTAATAAGAGTTACAACTCTCAGCAAAAAGTTGTGGAAAGGTAGAATTAGGGTATCTCAAACTGGAACCCTAGGATTTTAATTAAACAAAAGACCTGCCAGGAAACTTTTCCAACCCCGGAAATCAGTCGAACGTATTTGAGGAATACACGTACCTCTTCTGTTTAATTTTAAATTTCAGCATGTTGCAAAATGCTATTATTATTATTAATGCGTATTAAAATTGTTAATCAATAACGTATACAACTTCAAATTCTTTCTTTTTTGAACTGGGAATGCATGAAGAAAAGGGAAGGAAGCACACAAATAAGTAGCAAAAGGTAAATGGTAAGAATAATAGATACACTAAACATTTTATAGCAAGGTTGTCCAACCGACCAAAAACCAACCTACACATTTTCCCTCTTTGTTTTCGTTTGATTCGCCTGATAAGTTATAAACTAAAAGAAGTAATAAATAAAGACAGGTTCTTATGTTAAATCAATAATCATATAGCATTAAGTTTTATTACCTATGCAATTTGACGCATACCAATTTCTGATATTAAGAATGCCTGTCGGACAATCTCACATTAGTAGACGATTAAATTTCTAAAAAGCTGAGGATTAAAACCAGGTCATATAGCAAACCTATTTAATGGCATTTCTGAAAAAGTTAGGACAAAATATATAAAACTTATTTTGTTACGCATTATGTACAAATTTACCAGCATGCTTCTCCATCCCCCCCCAGCAACTGCAAGTAGCTTCATTGCATTGATCTTTATGAATTTTAATATAATTTTGAATTATTTGTTTAATGTACTTAAATAGCAAAAGTTTAAATTAAGCTTTACTAACAGATAATGTCAAAACGATAAACTCTACACACGATTTTAAGTTGAAACGTTATTTGTCTTGGTTCATTGTGTTAGTTTTTTTCTTTTTTCTTTGTGGCGTTACATGAAGCTTAATTTGTTCACCTTTTAAGCTGCACATATTTTTTTTAATACATGAACTTTTGATGTGCATGGAAAGTAGGGATAACATTTTTACCTTGTTACACCATCACCGCATAATGAGGGTTTTGGTTATTCTAAAGTATAGTTCATAACTTACTCCATTTGTTATCTGGATAACCATTCGATTATGTTTCAAATACTCTTATGTTGATATGATCATACCAAACATGACTCATAAATTATAATCACAAATTTGGTATTTACATAATAAAAAGAAAACTAACGTCAACTTGTCGATGGATTCCTGTCCGTATGGTGTCTTTAAGTTTTTTTCTTGTTTCATTTTATCATAAAGTGTGCACCTATTTATAACACATCCAATATTTCAGCCTTATGTACTAAAAAGACAAAATTAGTCATCCTGCCTTAATAAAAAAAAAAAAAAGAACTGAAACGTGTTTGGGAACTCTGATTGACAAATAGTTACAGCTTTACAGTCGCTTTGTCCAAAACAAAAACCATGAGTATGGCGTGGCAATCTGAAGATGCATGACGTCACCCAACTCAATTAAAACTGTTATTTGTACTTAATACAAGGCAGCAAAGGGCAATGAGTATTGTCACAAAACCTGAAAATATATCAAAATATTTGTTTTAGCAACATAAAAAATCAGAGTAAATCATTCAGATGTTAGAATTAAAACAAAACAAGAATGAGTATTGCATTTTTATTCCTTAGTAAATATAACGTTTTCATTAATTTTTTTTTTTTGGCACTCAGAAAATTAATGTCGATCATTATGATTAATTGATAGAGTTAGAAGGATGCTAAGACATTCCCGAACGTAACTCGTTTTTAAGATGGTTGCAACAATGTGATATGGAGATTAAGGACACCGAACATCTGAGGTATTGTTTAAAGTCAACGCGCCAGCCTGATCGTTACAATCAGAGAGAGGCGTCATCGCTGGCCTGGTCATGTCATTAAAATGGATGCAGATGGCATTTTAAGGACCATGAAGGTTCTGAAAAATATCGCCTGCGAAACAAGACAGAATGTAAGAAAGACAAGATGGATGCTGCTTGCATTAACACACGCTTCAGTGAGACGATGGGCTGAAGAAAGTGTATATGGTCAAACAGCGAGCATTTGCGAACGGGATGCGGTCTACACAGCCGGCTGAGAATAAAGCTCAACCCTATAAAAAGCCATAAAAGAACCATAGCCGCTAGCAACTATTTTTCCCAGCCATAAATGGTTCACTACCGCTAGCAACTCTTATTCCCAGCCATAAATGTTCTACTACCGCGAGCAACTATTATTCCCAGCCATAAGAGTTTACTACCAGTGGCGACGCTACACCAGGTCCCGCCGGGTCTCAGGACCTGGTAAAAAAACTTGGGACCTGGCAAATGACCTGGTAAATTTTTATTAGTTACTAATATTGTATATATGCTCATTAAGCGTAAACTACATTATATGTAAGAGAACTTCCATTTTAAATGACTTTATATGTTTAAATTGTTATTTTTAATACATTTATTTGAGACCCGCCAAATTATTTTAAGTCCTGCAAGGGACCCGCCATGTTAAATTTGATGGCGTCACCACTGTTTACTACCATACGTGAACTATTATTGCAGCCATAAAAATAATTTACTAGCGCTAGAAACATTTTTTCCCCAGCCATAAATGGTTTATTAACTCCAGCAACACTTGCCGACTTTGAATAACAATTTCACTTGCGAGACGCAATCGTTTTTGACAAAAAGAAACCATTTTTTTTTTGACATAAGGACAATTAAGAACAATCTGTTTAAATGACACGTACAGATATTTGCAGCTGAGTCCTGTCCCCTGGGATTGGTAACTTTAAGCCGCTTGTAGCGAAAGAGAAAAGAAGATGTACAGACGCACTGATGGTATTTGACGACTGCGACAAAGGATAGATGAAAAAGATAAATTGACAACTCACATGAGTGATGACATCCTGCGTTATATTGAGTGTCATCTTTCCAAATACATCTGTACATGTCATATTCACTCGGCGTGCATTTCAGCGATTGTGTACTGGTAACCTTGGCTGTAGAAGAACAGTTTTAATCCATTTGTTCAATAATAAAAATCTCATTTAGAGGGCGGGTAATGTTTTAATGGGTACGGGAGTGGAGACTGCTGTCAAGCTGTGGAATTTTGGTAAACTGAAAGCCTTCTACATCGACTTGCTTTGTTTTGGGATGCCTACATATTGATGGAGATGCAAAGATAGCTCGTTCATTTTTCGAGTCATGCTACTTCTGGCTTTTTGTAAACAATATTAAAAAAATCAAAACTTATCATCTCTATATGACATCTATAATCAAACGAAAAGTCTCATCGTTGAAGTCATACAATTTGTGTGGCTTGATAGTTCAGATAGGATAGTACATTGTATGTAGTGGGGCCAGACCTAATTGTCTAGGGGCTTTGCACAGATCTTTGGGCTATGTACAGCGTTGAATACTTTCATGCATCGTTAATTTGTTAAGTAAAGCGTTAAAAAGATATTTAATTATTCTTATTAATAATTAATCACCACAATTGTCCCCACCTCTCTCTCTTATTGATAAATAGCACAATTTTATTAATTATATTTATCCCACACAATCCTCGCTTTTTTTTACCTGCCACCAGACCTTTCAAAACACCCATTGCAAGCCAAATGGTTACGTGTAAACGTGCAATTCACAAATAGCTTTCAATGTCTCCATAGAAAGAAGAGTTCTAAACATTTACTTGATATCTTTATTGATATCTTTATTGATATCTTTATTGATATCTTTATTGATATCTTTATTGATATCTGTATTGATATTTTTATTGATATTTTGATTTTAAATTTTAATCAGCGTGTTTTTTTTTAAATTATTTTTTTTTAAAGTATATTATATTTTGATTTTTGATTGACTACTATCTTACTAGCTTTGCTTGTTGAACGTCCCACTGTCCCACTCGTTGTGGCTGTGAATAAGTATTAATTAGCGTTAATTACACCATTTTAGATAAAAATAAAGCCAAGAATGTCCTAGTTTTATAATAATCTTATACATTTAATTTAAAATCTGATATTTAATTTTTTTTTTAAAATAATGAATCTAATTTTAATGAAACACAAATTTTACAACATTATAAGAATATTATATTTAAAAGGGAAGATATTTTAATAATCATAACTACATTACCAGACTTGTTTCCTAAAACTTCATTAGTTCCAGCACTTGGAGCTGTAAAGGAGATGGGTACTTTGTAAGCACTTTAGTTAAATCTTATTTTTGAAAACAGCATGTATAATCAACCGGTTTGTTATGTTTAACTTGTAATATGGGTAGGAATCCACACCACTAGTCAAAAATTACATTTGGAATGTGTAGTCAAGGCTGACTTTGTAGGATCAGCCCTAAAAATTCATTAGCTGATGTGCAGCCAATGCTGTTTACAGGATCTATCCAAAAGTCATACGCTGATGAGCATCCGATGTTGTTTACAGGATCCATCCAAAGGTCATTCGCTGATGTGCATCCAATGCTGTTTGAAGGATATATCCAAGAGTCATTCGTAGATGTGCAGCCAATGATGTCTTTTCTGGACCCATCCAAAAGTCATTACTTGATTTGCAGCCCACGCTGTTTACAGGAACCATTCGAAAGTCATTCGCTGATATGCAGTCAACGATAATTACAGGGTCCATCTGACAGATAATGCTGTCTTTTCTGGACCCATCCAAAAGTAATTCGTTGATATGCAGCCAATGCTGTCTTTTCTGGAACCATCCAAATGTCACTTTTTTGATGGGCAGCAAATGCTGTCTTTTCTGGACCCATTCAAATGTCATTTGTCGATGTACAGCAAATGCCGTCTTTTCTGGACCCATTCAAATGTCATTTGTCGATGTACAGCAAATGTTGTCTTTTCTAGATGCATTCAAATGTCATTGTTGATGTGCAAATAAAACAGGAGCTACAGCATCGCCTCACGAAGATGAAAGTCCAAAATTATTAATCTATTAAATTATTAACTAATTCAAGTAGTATATTTATTTAATGTATTGTGTACATCTTAAACTCACATGTGGACATTTCAATGGTAACTTTACCTGTACCTGTGAAAAAAATTGATGTATTCGTTAAATGATGACGAATACATATGGACAACGGTCTAACGGTTTTTGATAAAAAAATTACATCAATCTGTTCTCTATTCTCTTGATTTAGTTTTCATGGAAAAATCAAATGTTAAGTATGTTAAAGCTCTTAAAAAGGTTATATAGTGGCTATACTAATGTGTTGCCAATACTGTTAGCTAATGCTATACATAGTATTAATAGCGTAGCGAAGGTAGGAGCTGCATGCTGTGGATCAAAGTTTCTGCCGTCCCCTCCACGACAATGTCACCACTCTAAATAATGATGAAGTATGGCGATAAACATGCATATGAGTAAATCGTTATCATTATTATGAATTGGAAAGTTTGTATCATACAGTTTAATTATATTTGATATTTTCCCATGTTAAAACAAAAATGGTTTTGCTAGGGTTTGTATTCGGAACAAGCGCATCAGTTTACACCTGAAGTTAGGACCTTGTCCAAAACAAATGGCTAAATAGCCAATTAAAATGTATTTTCTCCCCCAAAAAGTCAGATTAATTAGAGCTCTTGTAAACATTTAAGTTGGGGCACAGTGCGTGTGAGCTAATATACCATTGGAGACTTCACACGCGCCTAAACTTAAAATTATACAGGCTAAGAAGGCGTGGCCTTATATAATACAAATGTTCAAATATCTCACATTCACAGCAGATTGGTCTTAGTATTTGTTTGTATAAGATTATAAAGGTTTTAAACAAGTAGGCTTGCTGGAATTTCCCTAAATTGTCAAACTTTAACCTTCCCTTCAATCAGTCATTGGTGGGCTTTTTTTCTTCTAATCAATTTTTCTATGATAACTAATAAAGTGAGTCGTTGATTCACAAACTACTTAATGGATTGGATTGTGGGAGATTCAGGAGATCCATTACTCGGGGCTGTTAATGAGATGTATACGATGTGATTAATTTATTTAGCTGACGGGCAATGTTAATGCACACCCACCACTTATTCGTTCTTCTCTTAAATGATTTGATAAACATATTTAGGTGATATTATGTTTTTTATCCACTTCGCATTTTTTGGGAGGTTTTACAAAATACATTATTTGTTTCGAATTTTCTTTTTAATAGCCATCAGCATTTAACCAATGTTTTATAAGACGTGATTTACCTGCTTTATTGGTGGACGTTTCAGTGGAGCTTCTACTAGGGGCCGTAAAATATGAAGTATCTGGTCCTTTTAATTATCAAAGTCAAATATACGATTACAATAAAGTTTACTTTCAACACATTTCAGTAAGTAATAAGCCTAAGCCAACTATTTAAAATTCATTTTTTTTGTTTTGTTTAAAATTATATATTTTCTTTTCATTTTTTGGTGTGATAAATTCTTGCAAGTAAAAAAAATGTCTATCCCAATTAATCGTGACTTTTGTACAATACTATATAAAGAGACATTATATTATTAGATTTCTAGACTAACTGACTTACCTATTGATTCTTCAGTGACTCCTTTACTAGGATCTACGAAGAAGCCATTGATTCATGTCAAATGTTTATTGTTAAAAAAAACATCAAGTGTTTCATCAATTATAAGTAGTTTAGAAATGAGTAGACGATATTAAATTGATATTAATGATCACAATTACGGAATGGTTTATTTTTATGGTCTTAAAAAAGGTCATAACTTTTTTAATAATTAATTTAGATAGTATAATTGTGAATCATTTAATGGATCAGTATGTGTTGAAAATTAAAATTTGAAATTGAATATTGACGACATGATTCGGCTTACTGTAAATACGATAGGTTGCATTGAACCCCCTGTGCGCCAACTGGGACTGATTGCCTGTTTTATATTCAAGTGAGATGTAGTAACTGGTGGACCTGACGCTGGTTGGGAAGACGGTGCCACAGAAATAGGCCACTTGTTTGTTGCCCTCACTGAGTGTGACGTTACCGTTTGCACACGGCCCTATATCGAAGTCATGGAAACTGTAGAAAACATTAAATAAAGATAGTTGAAATACATGAATGATACCGTGGACATTATTTACGTTAAACATATAGTTTGCATGTACATCAAGTAATTTTTAGATGTGGAAAGTACGTTCTTGCCATTCAAGGACTGATGGAAATATGTTCAACATATTTTTCAACACAGTTTGCCTCCTTGTCATGATTATGAATCAAAATTTCTCACCCACATGCGCCGACTATGTAGCCTCAAAAAGTCACCAAAGATGATTGTTTCATTTTTTTTTTATCGAATGGAATAGGTTTAAACAAACCATCAAAGTCAGGACTCTAGGAGATGCAGACGTCCCGCCCTTCAAGAACATTAGTGCATTTATTTACCTGTGACCCACAGTCCTCTCCTCCTCTGCTTTCATTGCTGGGAGGTAACAACTAAACCAAAAGTGTCTATGGCCGGAATGAACAAGAGGTTCTGGGATAGCACAAAGAGATTTTCAAAATGCGAATCCACCAGGCTATTGTATTAAACTTTTACTGCACGGCAATGAGACTTATACAAGACGCAACCTGAAAATCTACAACATCTTAATGAGATGTCTGCCATGCATTCAACGACAAGATAAAGAGCCCAAATTACTATCATCGTTAGAGACAGATGTGACAGAAAAAAAAAAGATAACCAATACATTTTACCAACCGAGATGTAACACTTTCATTAAACAAATGTTACCTAATGACGATGTACTCATCTCTTGAAGCTCCTTGAATTGACCACCTGCAATTGCCATTTCGAAAATCACCGTTTGGATAAACCGGACTGGATATAAGACCGGTTGGTTCCGTGATGACTGATGTGCATTCTTCAAATGAAAGAAACGTGCAAATGACTAGGTTAGAGCATTTTGTGTAGCTTATAGTCAGTTTAAAGGCGATATAGCAAATCAAAGCGTATTTTAATGTAATCGTTGACAGTTTCACATTCACATTTTTAAAGAAATCCTGTATTAAACAAAAGCCCTGAAATGTCAGTAGGAATCTACTGGTACGAATATCAAAGGTAGAACTCAAACGATGGGTTCAGTAACTACTAGTTTACTGTTGAGAAATCCAATATTCGACTTCTTTGTAGCTGTTTTTAAATGCCAAGCTTATACTTATACATTTTGTGATATAATATAAAGAAGCGCTAAAATTTAATTTAAAGAAAACACTAAAGCATTACCATGACTCCGAACAGATCCATAAAATCCGGTATCCACGCCGGATCCATCCGTGGTGAAGACGATGTACATCAATGAAGATGTCGCAACGATGGTTTGGTTGACCTGTGAGATGTTCCCGAGAAACGCTGCCTTCTTGTTGATTCCGTCGTACACTGAGATGTTGTCGCAGCAGCCACCCAGAGCGTAATCGAGGATGCTGAAAATTGGTTAGCGTTCTTCTTGTTATCAAATACATGTGTTTGCGTATGAAGTTAGAGGTTTTTTAAATCATTCAAAAATGTATTTTCAAAAATAAAAAAGTTAAAAAAAAATTTTTTCAAAACCATTAATTTTAATGATACTTTTAAAAAGAATTGTGTAGTTTTAACATATTTCTAAAATTCTATTTTGACTTGTATACAAAAAATATATATATATTACTAGTTTAACGTATGTTAAATATTAAGAATAACAGAGACCGAATGCTTTTTAAAGGCACTTTAATTAAGAACTTAACACCAGCTCTGCACTAATGTTCAAACCTGAAAGACAACACATCACCTGACAGTCCGACAATGGTCCAAAAGCAGTAAACATTGTTGGAGTAGTTGTTAGGATAACTTGGACTCGCAATGAATGTAGATGATGTTGTTAAGGTTTTGTTGCAGCCTAAATAAACAAACAACTTTGGTATTCATTGATTTATCTTAATATATATAACCATTTTTTCAATTGTCAGATGGGAATTTAGTAAAAAAATCTGTAAGGACTCAATATTGAGATGAAATATTTCTGCTCGAAAATAAGCGTTTGAAAGTATGGGTAAAAATGCCTTTTAGGAGGGTTTGTGTTCTAAAAGGCGCCTTTAAAATGACAAGGTTTAAAATTTCGAATACTTCTGGAAATACTATCACGTATTTCGGAGAAATGCCACAGAGAACATTATATGACGTGTGTCTTGTATTTTGTGTGTTGGCGTTTTGCTTCTTTTCAGAAAGAAAATTTTTTTAAGAAAGTATGTATCGGATTTGGGATTTCTACTCCAAATCTTCTACGCATTTTAAACAATAGAAGTTTCTGACGACAAATGTTATGGCTCTTAAATGTTTAGATATTTTATGATCTTTTAATGTGTCTAATACAATAATTTTTTTGTTTGTGTTCAAAAACATTATTTTTAATGATATTTTCAATAAATAATCTTAAGTATACATTTAACTTTTATTAAAAACTATATCTACATCTTCAAACAAATTAAATTTTGAAAAATCGTTTTACTTGGAATGCACCGTGATGAACAGTTGTGGAAGTAATAGTCCAGAGGACAGACACACGTGTTATTTTTACAAGACTTTGTCTGGCATTGGCTGCTGCGGTTGCAGATGCTGTCGTGTGGTAAAAGATCTGAGACAGGTGGGACGCCACATACAGTGGCGTGGGCGACAAGGGCTACCTTGAAATAAGTGGGGAAAACTAGGTGTTTAGTGGTTCTCATCATATCACATTACATTTTTTTGCTTTTTTTTCTTTTATGTCACATCGTAATTTAATAACAATCAAAGCCTAATTAATTTTCATTTTAAAGTTATTTTAAGATGAGGTCATATTAAAATGCTTATAATATCCTTATAATATGACTATAATAACATCCCTTTTTTTAAATAAATCATTACAAATAAATAAGTGTGTATGTGGTGTGTGAGTGTTTTTGTATAAATAGCTTTATGAGTTATGTGTATTCCAAATTCAAAACGCTGATATTTTGTAATATATTCATCATTGCCAGTCTTAAATACATGTGTATAGTCGATATTATTTTAATAGCGTATAGTCCCTTGTATGATTGTTTCATTAAGATTGGGTTATTGTACCATCTGAGTTAAACGATGTGTCAATTTTTAAAGACAAAGTGTGTAACAAGCAAATGTAAATGAATAGCATGTGCAATGCAGGAAATCTTGTTTATGTGTCTATGTCTAACACATGGCTGACAGGGCCTCTTAACAGTGTGTAAAACATGCACGACAGGGCCTCGTGCCAATGTGTAACACATTCCTGACAGGGCCTCGTGTCAATGTGTAACACATGCCCGACAGGGCCTCGTGTCAATGTGTAACACATGCCTGACAGGGCCTCTTAACAGTGTGTAACACATGCCTAACAGGGCCTCGTAACAGTGTCTAATAAATAACTGACAGGGCCTCTTAACAGTGTGTAACACATGCCTGACAGGGCCTCGTAACAGTGTCTAATAAATGCCTGACAGGGCCTCTTAACAGTGTCTAATAAATACCTGACAGGGCCTCTTAACAGTGGGTAACACATGCCTAACAGGGCCTCGTAACAGTGTCTAATAAATGCCTGACAGGGCCTCTTAACAGTGTGTAACACATGCCTGACAGGGCCTCTTGTCAACATGTAAGACATGCAAATTAGGTCCTCTTGTCTTTGTGTATATATCATAGGGCCCACAAGAACTATGTAAATGTGTAACACATGCCTGACAGGGCCGCTTGACAGTGTGTAACTCAGTCAAAATAGGACCTCTGGTCTATGTGTAACAGATGTATTTAAGGAACTCCATTATATAAGATAAAGAAAACATACATTGAAAGATTTCAATACTTTTTATGCCATCAATAGGTTTTCTTAATTTACTTGCATTATTTTCCATTACATTCAACGCCAAATCGACAATGTATGGAATTCGAGTCTGAGTTAGATTTTCAAACATATTTTTTTTTAAATATACACTTACCGAAGCAGAGCATAATATAAGAGCTACAATAGACATGGTTCTTAGCTCTCTATATTCACAGATGAGTAAAACCACTATCGTTCACTTGCCTTTACAAGAAACTAATTTAAAGCATGCAATAAAGTTCATACATTGAACTTTATGATGTTGATATAGCAAAGGGTATGTAAAGAAGGCTGATGCAGATTTACTCTCGCTGCATGTCTAAATATTGAAATACGACTTTCACGAATCAAATATACAGGTAGATGGCACGAACTACAGAGATGTTAGGTGGCATGAACTACCGAGAAATCCGATCAGAAGTGAAAGGCAGCGACAGGTCCTTAGAAGATATTTGCACTGCAACAGGATGTTTGAATTGAGTCCCCGTGCGCGTGATGTAAACTGTGTTTTCTGTATTTCGCTGGAAGTAAGTAAGGCTAAAGAATTACCAAATGCATTAACACATTATGATTAGATATTGGGCGAATCATCATGGAAGAATAATAAAAACTGTGAGCGATTTCGATCTTTGTCATTTAAAAAAAAAAAAATATTTACTGTTATTTTTTCCGCGTCATATCAATTTAAAATAATGTTCAATAATATTTTAAATTCTAGAGGTGGGGCAAATCTTTACTGATAATCTTTCAAGACAATAAATAACATAAGTTATAGTAATTTCTTAATTCATTTATTTTTTTCCTTTTTATATATAACACAAAGATTTGTTCGCAAAATTTAGTTTTCAAGTCTGATTTAGTAATTTGAAGCTTTTGGCAGAATGTGTCCACAAATAAGCAAGAGAAGAATCTTTTCAACGCAAAATTTACCAGACATGGATCCATTTGTGTTAAGTTTAGCAATTGTTAAAGTATGCACATGCTGAAGAGGAAGCAAAGACCACCTTCCCCATTAGCCCCCCCCCCCACATACACACACAAACTATGCTTCAAAATCGACTGTTTCATTTATAGATTCTACAAGTTTAAAATGAAGCAAAGAACCACCTATGCTTTAAACATCTACTGCAACATTGTTTGATCAATCCTGCACATTTTTGTAAAGCGAAGCAAACACCCCTGTGCCTATTCATCGACCGTTACATCTTCTTATCTACAGCCTACAAATGTTTGTTTGTAGGGAGGCAAAGAACCCCTATGCTCCACCATTGAGACTGTGACGTTGTTACATCTGTAGCCTTTTGGGCACAAAATTTGCTACACTTAAATTTATTTACTTGTAACAGATGTTTTTCAACGATTTTTTTTCAAATAAATAACCTAATGTTTCATCTGTTTTTATGAATTTCAATTAATTATTTATGCGATAACGCATTTAGATGTCATATGACACAACGCATTTAGATGTCATATGACACAACGCATCGGTCTAAATAAAAAATTGTATGCTATCTGTAACTATAAGAACTATTTTTATCCACCAATCAAATTCACTTCAAAATTCCATGAAATTTATTTCAATTTTTGGACATCGAAAATAACTTAAACAAGCGCATTAATATCTGAGTCAATTTATTACAAGGCAACAGAGTCACAGTTTCCTGCTAGACTTATCGTCGCATCCTCTATTATGTAAAAATTATATTCTTTTGTCTCCATTGTTTAGACTTAGAAGACATTTTGGGAAAGAACATCGGCATTGTTGGATGTTTTTAGGCAAAGATTCTATCCTGAGCCAAGTTTTGAAACAGCTGTAACTCAAATTATGTGTATGACCAGACGGGATTCGGGATTCGTTTAAAGCAGGTCTGCACAACGTACAGCCCGCGGTCCCCATGCGCCCCGCCAGCACCTACTTTGCGGCCCGCGAAGTAACGAAATATTATTTTGTATCATTATTTTCTTAATAGCTCCCCTGCCCCCCCCCCATACAAAGTTCTTTCGACTCGCACCAGATGTTCATAAAGTATTGCGGCCCGCCGTACATTTTGAGTTGTGCAGGCCTGGTTTAAAGAACTAAAACACTATTCACGTATTGCATTCATTTGTTGATCCAGTATTATTTTATTTTACTGCACATCCCTATCTGCCGTCTTAAGAAAAAGCTTTATGCCACTTTTACATATCACAAAGCACAGCATAAGTAGGTCAGTAATGACTCGAAAAATGTAGCACTTTGTAAAATCAGTTTAATGACTTTATATGGACTTTACAATGAGCCAAGAAAAGGCAGAATAAAATTAAGTCGCAAAATATAGAATATATCTTTTCCACTTGTCTAAGTCACAGAAAAGGATAATGGTGAGCATGTTTAACTTAAGTAGGATAAAACTTAACGGTGAACATGTCATACTTAGTCAAACATAATGGTGGACATGTCATACTCAAGTAATACAAAACATAATGGTGAAAAAGTTAATGTAATACATAAGGCTCATACACAGTAGTGGTGAACATATTATACTTAACAGACATAGCAGTGAAAATGCTATTCTTAGTGATGTAAATTATTGGTGAAAATTATATACTTAAGCGACAAAAAAAATTATGTTGAACATGTTATGCTTATGTCACATAATGATGAACATGCTACACTTAAGTAATATAATGGCGTGCATGTTATAACTTAGTTATTTTGAGTTGTACCTGTTTAAATAATCACACCGGTTGTGTTTCAATGGTACTTGAGAAGTAAAATAGATAAATAGTGAAATAAGAATTACAATAACCGCCTACTTAAGCTAATGGCTTCATACTTATCCCAAGATTTGGATAATTATAATTATAGCTCCATACTTTTTAAATAGCTGCACGCTTATTCCAATAGCTGGAACCTTATCCTAATAGCTTCATACTTATATCGCAAAATATACGTTCTTATACTAATAGCTGAATATGTATCCTAACAGTTGCCAACTTGTCCCAATAGATGTATACTTCTCCCAATAGATGCAAACTCAGCCTAGTAGCTGCAAAATTATCTCACTAGCTGCATACGTATCCAAATAGCTGAAAAATTATCGCACGAGATGCATTCTTATCCTATAGCTGCATAATTATCCCAATAGCTGCATACTATCCCAATAGCTATATATTTATACCACTAGCTGCATACTTGACCTAATAGCTATATACTTTTCTAAATACCTGCATACTTATTCCAATAGCTGGGAACTTATCAGCAGACTTAACCTAATAGCTGCATCTTTCACCAATATATGCATAAGTATCCCACTAGCTGCATACTTATCCTATATTTGCATCTTAATCACAATAGCTTTTACTTATCCCAAAAAGCTACATTCCTATACTAATAGTTGCATACTTATCCCTATAGCTGCATACTTATCCTAGAGCTGCATAAGTATCACATAAAATGTACACTTATCCCACCCAATCGCTACACATTTATCCCATAATCTGCATAATTATCCCAAATAGTTACCTACTTATCCTAATAACTGCATACTTATCCCAATAGCTGCATACGTATGCCAACAGCTGTATACTTATTTTAAATACCGATACTTTAAAAAAATACCATAAGCACAATGTTAGCTTAGCAATATTAAGATAAGATGACATATAAGTGTAAATATGTGTTTTCAAATGAGTGTGCATAGAATTGAACATAATCTAAGTATACGTATGAGTGTACAGAAACGAACACTTCAACATGCAGTGATACATGCAGTGATACATGCAGTGATACATGCAGTGATACATGCAGTGATACATGCAGTGATACATGCAGTGATACATGCAGTGATACATGCAGGGATACATGCAGTGATACATGCAGTGATACATGTAGTGATACATGCAGTGATACATGCAGTGATACCTTCCATCAAAACGAAATATCACGTTTATCTCCCCGAGTGTCGAAATCGAATCAGAGATTGAAAGATTTACTGTTAATTACATCCGTTTTACATAGTAAAGTTTTAACTGAAGATATTTTTGTATGAGTTAATTTCAGTTTGGTCAATTAATTACCAACAACTGTCAATCATGCTCTTAGGGTAAGACCCAAAGGGGTATCTGTCTTGTGCACCATCTTCAAAAGAGATAAAAGTAAATATTTAAATGCAAAATAGGTGCTATAATAGATACTTCATAGTGAGATGGCGCCACTTTTCAGGCTTTCCCCCAAACTCTGCTTGTAGAAGTGGCGGATGTAAGTATTAAATGTTATTTTAAATTGGCTTGCCCCTGCAGCCATGTTTAAACTCTTATTGGTGGAATTGGTTGATTCCTTTTTACAGATTTCGCAAACAAGACTTGGGTAGAATCGCGGAGACGACGTTGGAGCAGTGATCACTTTCCTCTATATCCAAGTAATAGAGTATTGAACGAAATCTCCCATTTGTTGCTGTCACACAATGCTTTTCTTTGAAGTCAGTAGTCGGCTTGCTAGCAAATACGTACAGTGCTTGGTTCACTGCCACTGCCCCATAGAGAATGATGTCATAGACTGACCATAACTTCTGAATGAAGATAAACTCCAGATCACCAGACATTTTTATTATCTCCCACAGTCCTCCGTTTGATTGCAATACGAACGTCTTATTTTCTCCTCGAAAACTTATCATATGCTGAGCAGGGCCAGGGAAAGACTTCACTCTGGACGGCTCGCGAGACCCTGGGTCAACTCTGTAGACAGCCGTGTCTTGAACTTCATTGCTCTCCGAACAAAATACCAGAAGCATTCCCTCGAAGCTGATGGCGCATTCTATCTTTGTCGGTGTGGAGAAGTTAGCACTCCTAAATGTGTTATAACTTTTTCTCCCCGAGACTGCACGTGCGATGCGAAAGATCTCTCCCGACGATGGCTTAAAAAAATGAATGACATTGTCGTGAGGTACCAATGACAGATGACGGCCGTCAAATTCAGTCACCACGCGCCAGTAGCCATTATGGAATTCGCATAGCTTATTTCTTGAGTAGTTGGGATTTTCAGTACCAGAGGCATACAGTTGGCTGCTGAAAAAAGCAAAACGGACATTGTGTTTGAAAACTGGGCACGGTTGAAATGTGAAACATTTTCCATCTGCAAGAGACACGGCGTAAAAGCCGGAATCGTGTGAGAATACCACAACGTTGACTAAATCGCTGCATTTTCTATGCAGGGCACCTAGAAAGGTTTCACCGTCCCTCAAATAGTGTTTCTGATTGGTTATTGCTTCAAATAGAATATCTTTTGCAGCTTGATTTTCTTCCATTGCGGGATGACTGTAGAACTTTCTCAAACAGTCCGGCGATGCTAAATAAACCCTTGCTGCTTTAAGTAATGTCACGAGCTGGTCACCTTTGTCAACTCTCTGCATTGCCATGGGTGATTCTCTTGTTTTTGATAACAAGGGCCCCTGTGAAGTCTTACTGACAGTTGACCGAAAAATGTGAGCACTAGAGTTACCCGCATGCCCCGAGATGTGTAATGGTAAGCTGTCGCCAGATATCAGAGAGGCGCCTTCAGATTGGATCCAGACGTTGTTATCATATCTCCTCGATACAAAATTCCTTGCTAACATCTTAGGCTCGACATCTGATTCACAATTGTTGCCATCTGTCGTGTGAGCGTCTTTTCCAAATTGGGTTTTTGTATTTTCTATTTCTTCTGCCTTTATGTTTCCGGTGCCTTCTGTCTTGGTATGTCCGAGCTCGTCTTGCCGTGTTGACGCAGTGTCGTTTGGTTGACACTCAATCCACTTAAAAATAAAATCCAAAACACCGTCCTCCGACTTTACAACAAGATCGTGGCTTTCTACAATCTCCAAGACACCCTCGAATGAAAGCTTGCACACAACATCTTTGCTTATCATTTCGAAATTCTTTATCATAAACTCTTGAACATTTTTTAAAATGTGGCTCATTTCAAGTCGTCTGGCTTTAGAATATACAATATAATAATTTTCTAGGGACAGCTTTTCATTTAAGAAAGATTCACATTTCGTAATTAACGTCTGCTTCTTAAGTTCATAAGCCATCTGCCAGATATCACAGACATTGGCCCAGTTGATTTTTCCAGCAATAAAACTCTCACATCGTTGAATCAAAAAGTCAATCTGGAGTTGATGTGCAGCCAGCCAGATGTCTGTCATATTGTCATTTTTTAGAACATCTTCCCCAGTGTACAAAATATGTAGAATATGTTTAAAAGTTGCAGTTGAAACTCCGCGTAGAATCGCTCTCTTATCTTGAATTGTATTCGCCTTCGATCTGGGAAGACTACGGAAATAGGTTGAACATGCTGAGAGAATGAAATGGTGACATGGGATCTCTTCATTACCAACTACAACAGTAAAGTCAGCTTGGTCTTTATCCTCTAATAGAGTCCGTAGGCGCTTTGAAATACTTTCAGCAAAGAACGCCATCGCACCCTTTATTTATTTGAAAGGGCTTTTTTTTTTATTTATTTACTGTCTTGGTATTTTATAGTGGAACAGACTGTCAAATAAGTCGTTGATGCCTATAATCTACGATCCACTCTTACTTGCAAGTTATCTCATTTGAATCCTCAGGAAGCGTCAGAGGTAAGATCTTTGAACCTGTTTGGGGAATGATTGTCAAGACTATAAAATGCTCACAAAGGTTACATGTATCAAAGCACATTGTACTCAAAATAATTGTAAATAAAACTAATTTACTGTGATAACACTTTGTTACCAGGAAAGTAATGTGAATTTTTAGGTAAGCATAGAATATTAATATTTTATAGCTTTCACATCACCAAGGACATGTACACAATACTTCTGACTTTTATATTTATTTATGTTATTAGGAACATATAAATGTGACTTATGTTCAACGATAAAATAAAAGTTTGAATTTTTTTAAAAATAAAAAATGAAATAATATCACAACATAGAAGAATAAACACTATAGCGAGAAATGCAAATTGTCTGACTATCAAAATCTTAAAGGTAGGCCTATCACTAACTGAATTATTAGCTGATGGCTTATCTCCTAATAATTATAATCCAAAGAGAAGTAAATTAATATGTTAGTTATGTATTTATAAATTGTATATATGTACGTGATTATTCTTTTTGCATAAAAAGTCTCATGACTTAGTGTACAATCTGTTAAAAATATCAATAAGATTTTGTGTTAGTAATGTACAGCGTGTTCTTTCAAAGCCTTACTTAACATGGTAGAAATACTAATGCCGTAATAGAACGAATCACCCACTTTTTAGCGCTAGTGAAGCTTCGTTACTATGAGTTAATTATACGCACATGGTCTAAAAAAATGTACGTCTTTCGGGGGCGTAGCTATGCGTAGTGTCGCCAGTGGAGGGCCAAGATGTTTGCCGCAACATGTCAATAAAAAAAACTCAGAATGTGGCCAACAATGCCGCGCCTAAAGATATAGAAGCAAGAGCCACCCGCCCCTTCCTAAGCCAGTGAGGCGTATGGACAGCATTAAGTGTGGGGTAGGAGCAGGCCGGTTAACCTCCTACCTTTCATTTAACATATTTCCGGGACAGGAAAACAAAATCAATGTTTTACCTTCATCATAAAGCCATGTTATTTCACCCTATAGAACGTGTATGAAATGAAGCAACTGCTCATCAGTGGACTGAAGCTTAATGTTGCCGTTTCGTTTTATAGGCCACATACATTAAAATACAATTCAGAAGTCCGAGATGCTAAACTTGCACACGGTGTGTTGACTTAATCAAGCTGTTTACAACTCAACGTGGTGTGTGACCGAAACATGGGCTGGGTGATCAGGTGATTATAGCTCGGATGCTATCTCAGTAATTACTTGGCTAGGCTTTTATAGCCGTGACTCACCTTAAGCTGTATCAGTTGAAGTGTTGACTTGGGCCATGCCCCGATAGTTACAACATCACTATGTAGTACACAGTCATCGAGGTGTGTAAAATAAATCGAGTTTCTGTTCAGATTTTCAAGCCTTGCTTTCTTCGTAGATGTTTCTAGGACCTTAGATTTTGATTATGAAAACGTGTTAAGACTCTGAGAAGGTCAATGGTGAATATTTATAGATTTGGGAAAACCAATGCTTAAGCAAGAAAAAAAAAAAATTCCCGTTGTTTAAACAATTCAAGCTAGCAAAATGTTGGGCTCTAATTTGGTTTCTAGCAGGTGCTTACGTATAACTTAAATACAATTATTTTGTAAATCATACATTGGCAAAATAATATTTTCTAAGGCTACGGCTATTCGGACCCGGGTCCGAGATGTGAGAGTTTTGGTTTATTAAACAAATATTTAAAAATTATTGTAAGGTTTGTAAGACAAAATTTGGTCTCAAATGAAAGATAATTGAATTGTTAATTACCACAAATGACATCCCAAAAGCATTTAGTCAAAATAGAACCGGAAACGCATCTCCGCTATTCAGACCCGGGTCCCTTTAGACCCAGTGCTATCATTTGTGGTTGTTTATTTTAGTTAACTTAAGCAATTAAGTTTACAAACATATAGTCCCTTCAATTATCTTTCATTTGATACCAAAATTTATCGTACAACCTAACGATCAGTTGTTTTTTAAATTTTAATCCCGACCTCTAACCTCTCGGACCCGGGTCCGAATAGTTACTTCGATTTACTAAACCTTGTTACACTCATGAATGTGTGACGTCCCTAAGAATCAAAAGTGGTGTTTTTTAAAAATAATTATTTGCATTTCTGTCCGTGCTCTGCCAAGAGTCTCTATATAAATGTATTATATTAATCTTGAGGATTAAACGGCAGAGTGAAAGAAGTCAGTTTTAAGGAACAGCAGAAGCCACATAGATAGATTGTAACGACCCAGCTATTCCCAATTCTCGACACACGCTCCCCACCTGCCTTACATTCAATCTCGATCTCCAAATTCTCTCTCGTTTAAAGAATGTTTGTGATTTATTGCACAGAAACAAAATATGGAGTTTTCTCCGAGTACATCATTGAATACAATAGAAAAAAAAATGATGCAAGTAAAGTGTGCGGCAAAAAAATGCAGTCATGAGGCGAAGAATAATGTAATTTTGTTTTGTTTTAAATGTCTTTATTTTGAAAGAAACTAGCACATGCATTGTTTCCGTGTACTTTCCCAAAGAAACTAGAATACACCTAGTTAGTGTGTTGATTTACTATGGTATGCTCAATGGGGGGTTACTGCACGCACAACGTCTTTCCAGCACTTAAACGCGTTGCGGTTGGAACTATGCACCGTCGACTAACGCACAAATAGTCGGACGTTTCAGTTCTGTATGTCTTTGGAGTATGCTCTACTTCACTAAGTAAATTAAGCTAATAAAGACTTCATGTGTGGCTTAGTTTATTTTCATGAAGCACCCATTTTTTTGTGAACATCAGAACGCAATGGGAAATATCTGAAGTTACATATGTCTATCAATGCTTCTGCATCGCAATTTTGTCATGTCTTGTTATCTGCCATGACTTTGTCTCATGGTTGAACGTCTCACACAGAGATCAGTTTCTCGCATTTAGTGTTCAGAGTGTTGTCTAATCGTCGTAAATGACTAAGGACCCCATATTGTATGTTCATCTATTTTATTGATTTGTTCTTATTTCCAATCTATCTTTGTTGTTTGACATGACACCCCTTAAAAAAAATGAAATGCCTTCCTGTATTTTTATCATTAGTCAAAAACCGTTGACAGCTATAGCAATTTCATTTATTGCGTAATATTTTATTATTTTTGACGGAAATTTTGTATTAATTTTGAGGTGTAAATGGGTGTGGAACATTAGAATATTAATATAATTCAGGAGAGTTTGCATAACTGGGCGGGGAGAGTAGTGATTGAGTATATAAGTGTATTACTTGAATGCATGTTTTGTTAAGTAAATTTTGTTGCTAGAAGTTCGCGCATTGCTGTCGCAATTGTTTTATGAGCTATAGCTAGTATATAGATAATTATGTATATTCATTTTCACTGTTAGCTTTATTTATTAAGGGTCAACTTGCGATCAAACTGTTCCCTGGTGCCATCAGTGTTACCCCCTCCCCTGTCATCACCCTTACTTTTAAAGAATAAGCATAACATCTTCTCAAATTAGTTTTCACTAGTTTTATTTTAATTTATTATTTCTTTTTTTAAGACATTCGATCAGCTCGATCTCCCTTGAATTACTTTTATGCTGTTTTTGTATATTCTAGGTAGGGTTTTTGTTATTTTCTGTTGGATAGTCTAGGCGGAGGTTCTTGAGTATTTTATATAGTAGGGCTTGTTACTTTTTTTTCTGCAAATCGTTTTTTTTTCCCTGTGGCGTAGAGTTGTGACCTTATCTTTCATTTAAACTGATAAGAGATGTAATATTATACTGTATAGGTCTCACGGATCAATTACATTTAGAGTGTACGCCTACGGTTGTACACCTAAAGTTGTACACCTACGGTTGTTCGCCTACGGTTGTACGCCTACGGTTGTACGCCTACGGTTGTACGCCTACGGTTGTACGCCTACGGTTGTACGCCTACGGTCAATCAGCGAATCGCTGGTTTTACACCGCCTTTTATTTATCCTACTGGGTTCTGAGACTTATTCTCCCTCCATAATTATCCTGTATCCCGTAAATTTCTAATGCTTAGACACCTTTTCTTTCTATTAGACCAGCTGTTTATCACTAACATTCTGCTCGCACAGTCTCGTGCTGGACGCTCTACTACAGATTGTACCCTGGATTCCTGGATGATAAATGAAGTAATGCGTTCGAGCTGTGTGAAGGCAATAGTGGAACAAGTTGTGTTGAGCGTGAAATAAAGACGCACGACAATAATGGGAGAACGTTGCGGCTAGGAGTCTGCGCTTTTGACACGCTTTTTACTTGATATACCAATTGTATTGTAAGATACCGACACTCTGATTGCCGATTCTGCTCTTTCTGACTTCTCTCATCCTTTTTTCCCAATATTCTTCTCCTAAAGGTTACTCCCGTGTGTAGTCAAATCGATGCATTTGAAATCCCGCATTCTCTAGCATCGCCCCTGATTCCTCACTGACCCATCTGACTCAAATGCGGGCATTTATTATTTTCTCATGTTCAAACATGTCTTGATTAAGATGTTAAAGCAACAACAACAAAAAAAACAAATCATCTTCGAAATTACTCATTCCCTTTTCCCACCTCTTTCCTGTTGTTCATCAGTCTTGAACTT